AATATGCAAACTTCCATCATAAAACTCAAAATATAGCATCCCACTTTTATATATCTCATTTTCTATAAAAAAAAAAAAAAAATCTTACATATTTCTCTTTTATTTTTGTAGTTCACAAAACTTTGACCAAGTTAACATGAAATGTGAACTTCATAGCAATGAATGATCAAATCAATTCATCAAAGAAATATGTTACTACCTCCCTTAGTACGTGCACCTATAAGAAACTTACAGTTTTGGGACCACTAATGGACTCTATTTGAATCCACAACTCTTTGATGCAGACCCATGTTATGAACATCTGCATTTTCAAAATTTAGGTTCTGATTATTCACATTTGCATGATTTTCATTTTCATAACTGGGTTCCCCAACACCAGTAGGTGACCTCTCATCTGTTTTTCCATGCTTGTTCTTTTTCTTCTGTCTCTTTTTCTTTTCATGCTCTATCACTTCAAATTTGTTCAGAGACCAAAACCAGATACGTAGAGCTGACTTGTCACTTTGAATAATGTATTATCTCAATATATATTTACCTGCATACATTAATAACCACTATTTCAGTGACATAAAGAATAAGGAAAATCAAAGTCAAGAGTAATAACTGTTATAACAAATGTTCTTTCCAAACTACAAATTGAAGACACATAGGATATATCACCAGCCAAAAATTTCAATATGATATAATGAAAACAAGTCTACCGAGGTCCCAATCCCAAAAAGGGGAAACCACATCTTGAGATTATGAAAGGAGATTACTTCTAATAATACCAAAAACAGGTTGATGAACACCAACAATCACTTCTTTCGTTTCTTATTTGGCTCCCTAATTTCGGGGAGAGGGGTCTAGAGGGCATAACAAAACTATGGCTTTCTGCCGATTAGCTAATTGTACAGTTAATTTACACAGTCAATTAAACAAATTCATAAACTGAAACTACAACCCTAAACATATAAATTGAGACATAGCAATTTCTTCAACACATTACCGATTCAACATTACACATTGCGTTAAGCAATTGGTGATAGCATGAAATCAAAACCAGAAATGTCACAAGAAAATGCTAGTAAAACATGGAAATAGAAATAGAAGACCTGCATCTCCATCAGGGGAAGGGATGATGCGTGAATAGAATTAAGATGAATCGTAATAAAATGAAAATACAAGAAATAAATTACAATAACACATTCGATTTTGGAGTAAGAACAACTAACAATGCACTGACTAAATAAAGAACAAACCGTGAACAGAAAAAAAAAAAAAAAAAAAAAATTAAATGCCTAAGCATGAAATCAGAGTGTCAATGAACATAGTAATTACATTTAGACTGATAGTAGTGGTTTATCAATGAGGCATTGTCAGCTGAGGAAGTTGATTGATCGTACTTGTAAACTACGTGAAAGAAGGGGGAGGTGGAAGCGGCTGGACGCGGGAGTAGGAGCCTTCTTCGGTGTCATCGACTAGAGACCGGAGGCGGAGGTGTCGTTGGCATGAGGTGGAGTCGATGAAGTTGTTGTCAATTTTGACTTTGTGACCAAATAATAAAAGTTATATTACATTTAGACTTGGTTTGGGCTTTTGGGGTTTTCTCCAAGCATTGGCAACTTAACCAATCTTCAATTGTGTAAGTAATATAAATATTAAGTATTAATCTTATTTAATTTTGCATATTTTTATGGTTTAATACTTTAATTCAAATGGTTGATTTTTGGTGCAGATTGTTGCAGAACATCAGGGGCAATCTCATCCTTAGGTCATTTAACAGCCCTTCGATGCAGCCCTTTGGTACATGTAAGAAAAATCACAAGGGTATTTTAGTAATTTTGAGTGATAAAAATAATTAGTTGGGTAGATTTTTCAAGTTTCAAGGAGTTTGACTGATTGCCAATTCGCTCCAATTTCAACAGATGATGTTAGAAATATTTTAAAAACATTGAACTCTTGTTCACACTATTTAGGAACGTATGGCAATTTTATTTTATTTTATTTATTTATTTTACACTTGATGATACACCCATCAGGATGGGTTCGAATAAAAGAGATTTTAAAATCAACTATTGGTTTTAGTCCATTAGACTCGAAATTGACAAAAACGACTTATGATGAACAAATAATGAAGAAAAGGAGAGTTCAATCCTCATGTTATTTATCTAATGTTATTTTAAAAATCAATCTTTCAATTTCCAAAGCAATACTCTTGAAACCATCATCTTCATCCTCAATTCACATCTTCTCTCTTCTTTCTTACCTGCAACTTGAAGGAAACACAAGGAACTAAGCTTTCTATGGAGTTTTTCCTTTTTGAGAAGCTTTTCAGGGGTACAATTGTCTTTTGATAGATTGCTGAATTTGGTTTGCTCCAATACTAGAAGTAACTTACCATTTTTTCCTTTTAACCTCTCCTTATAATACCTTTCCTTGTACTGCTCAACTCTGTCCAACAAGACTTGAAATTTAGGTGTTTGTATATACATAATTCATAATACATACAAAACAAAGGATTTCTATCTTATTTATGCATTATGTTATTACATAAACTGTTCAATTTCTAACCATTATGATATAAAATGATTATTATATAGTTGTTCTCTGTGTGTTAAAGGGACATAAATTCAACACAGTACAAGAGTCAGTAACATAACCATCCATTGTAGAGATGATCAGATGATGGTGTCGCAACAGGGTGGTGTAGAGATGGAGAAAGGGTGGTGTTAAGGTGTTCTTCCATTCAGTGGTTGGGAGGAGGAAGTTGAGTACTTGATTCAAAATGGGTGTATTTGATTTAGGAATTAAGGCGTACTTGATTCAAAATGGAGTATATTTGATTTAGTTTGTAGTACATGTCTAATCACCCGTATTAGATGTTGTAATTGTTTGTATTAGATTAATTTAACCTTTTATAATACGGTTTATATTACAACCTTATTAGATGTATTACCTATTTTCCAGTAGTGTTGGTTTCCTCGATTCAAACTTAGCGTTGAATTGGCGTTTTCTGGTCTGATCTCTAATTTCATCGTTCTGAATCTTATAATTTGCCCCTTAATCTATTGGTGTTCTCTATATGACAACTAGTGGTAGCGTCGTTGCTAAATCGGAATGCTAGATTGTGTCTATTACTCCGAGATCCAGAGAAAGCAAAAACTCTATTTGGAGAACACGAAGAGGAGAAATTGCAGGTATATTTAGTTTTTTTTTTTTTTTTTTTTAATAAATGAAATGGGATACTATTATTTTGACTTTCTTTCTTTCTCATTAGTGAAACCAATTCAGGATATGAATATTTTTTTATTTAAAAAGGGATTTTGGTAGGTGATGAAAGGTGACACTCGAAATGTACGGGATCTTGAAACATCAATGTTTGAGATTTATACTTTATACTCTGATTTTTACAAATATGTTATTTTTGCTAATCATTAATTTTTATAACCTTGATTATATGTTTTGATTCATAGGGTTTGACCCATATTATTTGCTACACAGGCACTACTGCATTTCCATCAAGACGATGGGATGGAGATAACCCTTAATTTGATCTCATTTGTGTTTGAAGATTGGGAGGGCATGAGAAACTTTTTGTCAACACTGCCTTATCATTATCAAGAATCATCCTCGTTTCGTGTTGGAATAACCAAGTATAATGAACTACCTTGGAGGTATGACTTACATCACATCACATAACATGAATTTTTTCCTAAATGTAAGTTTCAATTTGAGTTTGACTCCACCCTTGATTGATATCTCAGCATAATGATTCTTTTTTGTGTTCTGAAATAAACGAAGATAGGGGACCATTTTGTTCGTAACTCTGGCATTCCTTATACAATAATAACGTCTGTTTTGTGGGTTTTATTTATGTTATTAACCAAAGGAATCTCAATAGAATATACTAATTATCTACTTACTAGTGGTATTTTATATATTTTGTTGAAACTAGACCTGGTAGGTTGACAGATGGACCTTACACATCATATGATCTAAATACTTTGCTCAAATCAACAGCAGGAGAAAGACGACTTGTCCTTATTGGTCAAGGACTCAAGGTAGTTGACACTCGATACTACTAGAAACACGGGTTTTAGAGACAGACGAATCCGTCGCTAATGTTGTTTGCGATGGATCAGCGACGGATTCACTCCATAGGTAATTTAAACGTTGCTAATGTCTTAGCGAGGGTTTTAGCGACGGGTCGGTTTTTCTTGCGACAAATGTAGCGACAGAATATCCGTCGCTAAATGTCACTCAATACATTTACTCAGGGCATTAGCGACAAAATTTATTTAAGTCATTCCGTCGCTGTTCTGTCGCCAATTTCCGTGATCAGCTTTTTTCGTAGCTAAGCCCTTGCAAAATTCATATACTAATTTTTTTTTTCCGTCGTTGATCCGTCGCAAACTTTAGACATGATTTTTTCTGTAGCTAATCCCTTGCAAAATTCATAAACTAATTTTTTTTCCGTCGTTGATCCGTCGCAAACTTTAGACATGATTTTTTTTCCATAGCTAATCCCTTGAAAAATTCATGCATTAATTTTTTTATTATGATTCTAAAAGAAAAAAAAATACTACAATCATCAAATTATTATACAAAAAAACATAAAAAAAAAATCAAATAATGACACAACCAAACATTATAATACCAAAACTATCAAAGTTTACCAAAGTATCATTCAAAAAACATCCAACACCAAAACTGTCCACATAACATCAAACTCCCAACGGTTGAGAGCATTTAACAGCAAGAAATCCAAAGTATGCAAAAGATGTACAAACAGAAAAAAGTTTAACCTTCAAAATAAGCATCAGGAAATGAGTTTTCACAAAACATAACTTCAAAATGACATTTTAGCTGCTCTCTTCATTTCATGTTCATCCAATCATCTTCGGTTCTCATTCCTATAAAACATTATTCAAAACAATCAAAAACATCAAATACAAAAGGTTAACAAGTCATTCAAAAACATCAAATACTAATGGTTAACATCATATTACCTCTAATTTTCAATTTCCCATCATATTTTGCAAGGCTGCATACATCTTCTCCATTGCCTCATATTTTGCATCAATTTGTTGTTGTTTGGCATCTATTTCTGCAGCTTTAGCATCCATTTCCCCACGCATCTCGTTTCGTACACGTTCATAGATAACCTAAAGTATAATGTCATGATATGAAACTTTGTAAGTACAATGCTATGATAGGAAATTTTTATAAAGTACAAAGTTAAACGAACCTCCTGGGATGTTATTGTACTAGATGTTCCTTCCAAAAAGCTCGTTGGATCAGACATAGATGCGAATGTTTTTAGTGAAATGTTATTGTACTAGATTTTCCGGTAGCGGTATCTCATCGGGATGTTGTTATGTCGTCTACAAACAATTAGTGAAATGTTATTTAATTTTATAAATTATGTTTTTATTTTCAATTTAATGTACTTTTCCATTAGTAAAATATTTTCTTTAGTTTAATAAATTTTTTTTAATCTAATGTCAACAAAAAAATAAAAAATAAAAAGATAAATAATGTGGAATGGTAACTATTATCAAAACCTAGTGGTTCGGTAATAAACATGTAATGGAGCTGACGTAACGTTGAGTTGACAACACTTTTCTAGCAGGTTGATGGTGACCAAACCCCTTAGCCTAAGATTAAAATATAAATAAAATTTCACATATGGTTCTTAAGTTTTTTTGTTTGTCCTTAAAATAGTTCTTACGAAACATTTTTGCACAGATGGTGCCAATGCAGCAAACATTACACACAAATGGTCCTTATAGCTAAGTTTGGTATCAGATTATGTTAGATATCTGCGAAATGAAAAAAAATACCATTTGTTTTTTTTAATATTTCCTTTTACTACCTTTTAAATTAAAAAAAAACAAAGAATTTGGTCTCTCTCTCTCTCTCTCTCTCTCTCTCTCTCTCTCTCTCTCTCTCTCTCTCTCTCTCTCTCTCTCTCTCTCGGTAATTCTCTAAGGTATTATTTATATATATGTTGGGTTAATTAATTGAATTGGTTTGGGCTTGGACCTATTGGGTCCTTATGATTGGGCTTAAGAGTGCCGTACGCGGGGCGTACCACTCTAAGTACGCGCAACATACTCACGAGATATGGTCGCGGAAGCCATGCACGTACGCGCTGTGTACCAAAGGGTATGCGCATCATACGCAAGCAGACCCCAAAACCCTAAAATTTAGGGTTAACCCCTATATAAAGAACATTACGCCCTAAAGCTCAGCCACCCTCTCACCCTTAGACAACTTTCATGAAACCCTAATCCCTCCTTGTGTGTTCTCGGAGCTTAGAAGGCCATTAGAAGAGTATTCTGGTGATTTTGAAGAAGGTGCTCACTCTTGAAGATTCATTGAAGAAGATAGAGCTTTTAGATCTAGAACCTCATCAACTTTTGACTCTCATTTAATGTATAAAGTCTTAAACTTGGTGGTCATTTCCTTAGATCTCTTGTGTTGGGTTTTTTGCACCTTTTTGGTCCCAAGGATTAAACTTTATGGTTCAAATCCGTTTCCTAGGCTTAGGGTTGCCATCCTTGGTCCTATTTGAGTCCCAAACACAGAAAGTTGCCATCTTAAAGGTCTTGATGTGTGTAACGTCCAAAAATTTCAACCAATTTAAACTTTTAAAAAACAACCCATATTCATTAAGTTATTACAAAAAGGTTTTCAATTCATTTAACATCAGAGTATCCCCTAGAATCATATCACAAAATCATAAAATATGAGGAGCGGTACGATCACGCCTTTGCCTTGCCACGATCTCCTGAAGTACCTGAAACAATACACCGAAACTGTAAGCCCGTAAGCTTAGTGAGTTACCCCTAAAATACCAACCACACATACACATACTCATATCATATCACAAATAGAATAGCCACGCACATCGGGTCTACTGTGTGACTGGTCCGCCCGCACCGGGCCTTCAGTCCACCTAGTCCACCCTCCGAGTCTAGCCATGTACATCGAGTCTACAGCATGATTGGTCCGCCCGAACCGGGCCTTCAATCCACCTGGTCCACTCTCTGAGTCTACAGTATGACTGGTCCGCCCGCACCGGGCCTTCAGTCGGCCTGGTCCACTCTCCGAGGCTCGGCACGTCTGGTCCGCCCTCTCGGGACCTTCAGCCTATCCGGACCGCTCGTTGGGCCTTCGGAATATCCGGTCCGCCCTGGGTATGTTGGCCTATAGCACAAAGCAGGACCCGCCTCAACCCAACCCCAGTCCAACAACCATGTGCACATAAACATATAATCATATAACAATCTCTAACCAGACAAGCAGTCTAACAGATCACATAGCATATCAATATCCTAACCAGGATTCCGACCTAACCGGTCACTAGCATAACATTACCCTATATCCCGGGTACCGACCTTAACCAGGTCTCTAACACATACCATCCTAACTACCAGGATGCAAACATAGCAAAGCAATAACATAACAACAACTACCCGGATTTCCATCCGATAAAGGGCCGGCCTTGGTGCCGTAGACCCTGTCGATATAGTGAGGATAACTCACCTTGATCTGCTGAAACACTGCTGGTACTCCTCTGGCTGCTATCTGACAATCCCCGCACTGCTGCTCCTCTAGCTCTCCGAACTATCAATGCCACAATAACACTTAGCCCAAAACAATATCCTTCTAAGGGTAAATTGACCCTTTTACCCTTAACCCAATCTGGTCCAAGACTAAGGCCCAACACCATACAATGAAGGGCCCAACACTAGGTAAGCTCTCAAGCCCACTAGTGACCCACTAATGGCCCAATTTGCTATATTGGGCCCAATCCCTTAATGGGCCTCACCCTAAGCCCAAAATATATTTCTTGGTCCTTATAATATGATTTTTGATGGCCCACTAAGGCCCAAATACCCAAACATGCCTCAAGCCACGACCCAAAAACTCATGATCCATACAGATAGAGTACGCGGGGCGTACCCCTCATGTACGCTAAGCGTACAGGCAGAATGGTGAGTACGCTGGGCGTACATCCCTTTACGCGGGGCGTAAACTCGCTGAGCTAAAAGTCCTCATAATTTCTTAATGGCTTAAGCTCTTAAGCCCAAACTTCAGATCCATCGACCAAACATGCCTAGAATCCATAAAGTCTCAAACTTTATTACTTAGGACGTCTATAAAGCTCTTAACTCAAGGTCTTAATCCATTAAGACCCACCTATATCATACATGAGACAACCAAAGCCATTGGGACCTCATTTTTCTTACTCAAGACCTCTCCTAAGGTCTGAAAGGACAGCTCATCTCAACCAACTCGCATCATGCATCACTTTGGGGTCTTTGGGACAAGTAATGGTGTCAAAACTTCATAACACCAAGATATACACAAAATAGATGTCAAGCAAGAGACTTTATACCTCAAAAGGGCTCCAGAAGATGATGTCTTCCCAGATCTACGAGCTCCAGCCACCCAACTCCTTCCTTGACAACTTCCTCTTTTCCTCCTCCAAGCTTAAACCACCAATATGAGCTTTCTAAGGCCAAGATCTCTAAAAATGGAGGTTGGAATGTTCTAGGGTTTCTTCTGAGGTTAGGGAGGCTGATATGGGGGCTAGGGTTGAAGCCATTATGTTCTATTTATAGTGGCTCACCCTCAAATTAGGGTTTAAGGGCTCTGAGCGTACCTCTAGTACGATGGGCGTACGTGTCCTTGCACCCGCGTCTATTTACCCGGTTATGTTGGGCGTAACCCAGCTTACGCTGGGCGTACCTACGCGTGTCCCATTCTCATGCATGGCCTTCCTCGTCAACTTTTCCCATTAAGGGCTATAATTGTCAATATCTTCAAAGTATCATAACTCCTTTATTCTAAACCCGTTCCCGATGAACTTTATATCCACGCGAAGGTGGCGAGAAGCCCTACGCTTCTATCAACATACCCCGGTCCGAAACCTTCTCGAATAAACCCCATTGCCCATAAAAGACCGAAACACCCTTACTCTTGATCCCAGGGATTCATAAATAAGTACTTTTCGAACGGGGCGTTACAATTCTCCCCCACTTAAATTAGGCTTCGTCCTCGAAGCCTTACAGCAACACAACTTCCGGATGATACTCCTACAATGCATCCACTGATCTCAAACCGGCTCAGATTCCCTCAAACACAGGTATCGAACCTCTAAAATCCATCTCTTCCCTTGCAGGGTTCCGATCAACTACTTCAAGCCGGCCACCGGCTTCTTTTCTCTGAGAACAACGCTCATCCACTGAGTGCCACCTGAAGACACTACCTTACTTCCGTCCCACGCATTCATTCGCAACTTCCGAAAACTGGATACCACAACACCCACTGAGCTCTTGCCAAGGCACTAACCCATCTTCCTTCGCCCAAAATTGGCGATAACCCTGATAACTTGCAACCTGGAACGAATCCTGTTCCATCCTCGGGCTCTATCCCTTTCGTTCTGACAGGATACTACATCCCTCGGCACCGGTCCAGACTACTTTCGAGTCTGTTAACCTGTTGTCTCACCTCTATCTGATCCAATCTCCAATCGGGAATCCCTTCCCTTCTCCTCTTCCAAGGAGACCGAAAACATGCATGCGCATCATCCAACATTGCCACAACCTCAACGGGCATCCAACCCGTATGTGCTTCCATATATCTGGTACAATCCCAGTGCTTGCTACCAAACACTTCTGATCATCCATTTACTCTGCTGCCTTCCTTTCAGAGGACCCACACTCCTTACGGAGTTACATACCTTTCCTTTCCAGGAAGTCTACTCCACAAACATAACCGTACTTATAAGTGCTACTGAGCTAAACTCCACTCTACCGTCCCACTAATACATACAGAGTCTTCAGCATGACTGGACCGCCTTCCCAGGCCCTCAGCCCATCTGGACCACTCTCAGAACCTTCAGCATGTCTGGACCGCCCTCCTGGGCCTTCAGCCTGTCTGGACCGTTCCCTGAACCTCCAACCGACTTCATCATCATGATCAAAACTTGGGGCCAGACCATATCGATTAATATTGCATGGCGACATATTCACTTACTCTCCCCATACCGATCTCCTAACACATCTAGAGTCTTCAGTATGACTTGACCGCTTTACCAGGCCTTCAGCCTATCTGGACCACTCTCAGAACCTTCAGCATGTCTGGACCGCCCTCCTGGGCCTTCAGCCTGTCTGGACCGTTCCCCGAGCCTTCGGCCTGACTGGTACGCCCACCGGCCTTCAGTCTATCCGAACCATTCAAAATCTGTCGCGCATCACACTGATCTATTCCTCCCGGGAACCTCTCCCATGT